TCGGGAGAGTTCATGGCACTTCGAAGAATGCAGCTCTTACGGCATATAATAGCACTTAGTTAAATATTTTAGTAGTACAAATGTCTTTAAGTATTAATATTTTTGGGAAGTTGATGAGGCATAGAGTGTTTACCTTCTAAAGTAGACACTACGCATGCGCTGATTTCACAATGGTAATCAATAAAGCTGTTTTGATGCTATTGTTTATTCTTATAGCATGTCATAATACGAACGTATCAACCAAAATAAATATATTGATGGTTGCACTATTTTTGAAATCACCTCTCATTCAACAACGTCCATCCTGCAAGAAGAACTAGACAGCATTCAATGGATGTGCATTAATTTCAAAAACAAAAAAACAAAAAACAAAAAACAAAAAAAACAAAACAAAACAAAAACAAACAAGGAATTAACTATGTCTTTCTCAAAGAAAACACCTCATCTTCAACCTCTCCAATAAATGGTAACAACCTCGAAACTGTCAACGAAACAAAGTTCTTAGGTGTATGGCTGTCGTCAGATCTTAAATGGACTACTCACATCGAATATGCATGCCGAAAAGCAAGCAAACGCCTCTATGCCATAAAAACACTTAAACGTAGCGGTGCTAGTTCAGATGACCTGCGTTCTGTCTATTGCTGTTTCATCAGACCAATCCTTGAATATGCTTGTCCAGTGTGGCACTCTTTATTACTATACTATCTACAAGATCGCGTTAACAAATCCAACGAAGAGCTACAAAGATTATTCTACCTGGACTTAGTTATGATGAACGATTAAACGACTTAAGACTATGTAGGTTATGATTACCTTTACTACTAGACAGACGTGACTTTCTGTGTTATAAATTCTATAAGTCAGCATTGGTCAGTAACAATTCATTAACAAAACTTAACGAAATGTACATAGTTATTCTTTAAGAAATCCAAGAACATTTAGCCTATTTAAATGTAAAACCCAACGTCACTTAAAGATAGTTTTTTACCTTATGCTATAAGTAAATGGGATGCCGCCCTTTGGCAATATTTTAGTGTTCTCAATTTACCTTTTATAATTTCATTTTTTAACAATCTTTATTTATATTGTAAATTCAAGTTTTCCAATATTATATTGCTATTTGAATAAAGTTAAGTAATAATATAATAATACAGTCATGTAGTAGAATATAGTATATATTCCTTTATTTGATATATTTAAGTTTTACCTAGGTTTTTTTCTAATTAACTACTTCACTATATTCAATTTATTATTTTCTTTGTTTAAGATGCAGAGCTACTCTTTAGATATGCTTCAATAAATAGAACATACACATCTATCTAAAAAAATAAAATAAAATAAGATCTATGGAATCTGCAAGCGCTGTTTGGCTTTGTTCAAAAATGTTTTATATGCTCGTTGTGAAAAAGATTTAAAGCCAACGTCATTCAATTCTTGATGATAGTCGGTAATTCATAAAAATATCTTTGAGCAATTATCCTGGAATGTTCCTGTTTCTCAAAAGGGATGACTACATTTATAGCACAACTTGACCGCAGCTGGCGAAGGACTTTGCGTTTTTCGAGTTTCAAGTAATCTGGGAACGATGGTTCCCACAGCGACTTATGAGCTATACGTAATAGATGATATAAAGTCCTTTCTTTAACAGGGAGCCACTTGAGGTGCTCCACTACATCTCTTTCGGTGGTATATTTACTCGGTATATTTATTCAATACAAAGCTTACCGCTGCATTCTGAATTTGCAGTAACTTCTTTTGTTGGTACTACCGAAGTGGATTGAACACGATATCCTTAGAGTCCAGTTTGGATAAGATTAAACTTTCAGCTAGTTGCTTTCTCAAGCTGAGTGGAGCCAGGTTCTTTAGCTTCGAAGAGTGGATAACACTGCATAGCACGAAGAAGATAAGTAATGAATGTGATCAGTCCATTTGAGATGCTCATTAATCCATAATCCCAGAAGTTAAATGAAGATGTTCTTTCAAGCACTTTTCTCTTGATTGCAACATTAGGCGCCAGATCCTTGAGACCATGAGCTGTTGACATTTGCTGTGTTGTTATGAGCATCTGCTTAGTTTTGGAACCGTTTAACCGGATACATAGAACACAATCGGGTCGGGTTTTTTGAACGCTCATAGCGCGTTTAGTTTATATAAATTTCCCCATAAAGTATACACTTTCTAACAGCTTAAAGTTCAAATATTGCATATTCGATTTTACTTTTGGACAAAAATAATTCATTTTGGATAAATCGGGCATTGATTGCAAACGCTATGGTTCGACGCGAGATGTTTGTTCTCCCTCTGGTTAGCGTAAACGGATCAATTTTTTTTTTGCATCTTATTACACGTATGTTGTTCTACCAAAGTGTGTCTGCGTTTTTTCTTTTGGCGCTTCTTTAATCTTTTATTCAATTCCAAATTTATAACTACATGTTTTTAAGAGCATTCTTGAGAAAATGGCAAATATCTGACAAGTTAGTCCTTCGTAGGAGTAAATGTAAAGTGATGGAGGTGGAGATGTGTATATATGGGGAACGTGGAAGGTGAGTAACCGATGAGAGATAAGTAAGCGGAAAAACAAAAGAAAACAAGAGGATTAAAAGTAACAATAGACTAATTAAAGGTGAAGCGCTCGTTCATGCCAACAGGGTTGTGCGTACCTAAGGTGTGAATAAGCCTCATTTCTTTAAGAACATGCGTAATAAGTAAATTACGAGCCTTAGATCCCACACGGCGCACTGCCACATCTATCTAGTACCTCATTTCTTTAGTTTTGCGACAATGGTTGCCGCCGGTAAATAAAGATAAGCCAAAAACAACAAAGTCAGATATAGAATGATCGGGAGAATTAAAATGGCGGGAAACTAATTCTCCCGATCATTCTATTTCTGACTTTGTTGTTTTTGGCTTATTTTTTATTTATTTTTTATTGCCTCAAGGTCTTCCTAACACCAAAGAATGAACGAATTCGATTTTTCGACCGTTGCCGCCCTATGTTCGATTTTTGCTGACATCCTCTCTTACTTTTTATTTATTTTTTCATGTATTTAAAAAAAAGGTAACCACTAAATGGAAAAAACTATTGACTCCGACGAAGGACTAACGTCCGAAACGTCAGTTCCTATTTCACTACGGTGTATAACTTATCAATCTACGATAGATGTATATAAGGAATTCTTACTCAGTTAGCAATAACAATATATATATCTATATTTAATTATTTAATTTATATCCTTTTTTGCTATAGAGGAAAATTTATACTGTTGAATTTAATATTATAGTCTTTGGTATTGTAGTCTTTTTCTTTTTCTTTTTYTGACCCTAAATGAAAATTACGACAGCCAACTAGAAAGCTTAGCTCCTTTGGCTGTCGTACACTTACACCTATTATATTGTTTATTATATTAAAAATTTTAGATGTTATTCAACTATATATATTCTTGTAATTCTATTATTTAAAATTGAAAAAACAGTGTAAATAAACTGAAATTGAAATGAATTGATTTATCGTATGAAAAATGGAGAAGGTATTCCTTAGTAATTTCTTAATTTTTAAAAATATTAAAAATATATATAGTTTAATAAAGCTGCCATTTTTGAACATCTAATGGGTTTAATTCCATTCTTCTAAGACATTTTGCATAAAAACAAAAAAACTATATCTTACCTAGTATGTTGCCAAGTTTCGGGGTCTTCGCATTCGCATTCGCTAAARATACGATTTCTTTCATAAAATTTGCTCTAAAAATCACAGCGAATGCATGTGGCTTTTAAATTGGTCCTAAAACCTGATGTAGTATTGGATTTTCTGTAGTTGCCTCGTATTCCTAGTAAAATTAACCAGCAATTCCACAAAGCGTAAAAAAAAAAAAAAAAAAAAAAAAAAAAAAAAAAAAAAAAACCACTCAACAAAGCACCACCTTGGCTAATTTTGATGAGACTTCAATGACAACGCTACATGTTAACGTATAAGAGGAACTCTGCCTAGCTGACACCCTGTCAAGAGCGCCTTTGCCCGAAACAGTCGAGGCAGCAGTAATATGATTAGAAGTTTTCAGACTAGAACCACAAAAATCAAGGGAATAACCCAACACTCCTTGAGCACACACACTTTTCTTCGTTGACCTGGTGGGGAAGGGGGAAGGGGTGTTAGCTAAGGGTACTATTCTGGACCTAGTTCAGAGCTCGGGTAAACGAAGGAATGGGTCCCCTGACTTTTGGTTCCCTAACTCAGTTTTATAGACAGTACAATGTGCTTGTGCCACATCCTCGTTTGGCCCCTRATCCTTAATTGTGGTTGTGCCCTAGAAAGGCTACTTATATGCCAATACTGAATTGGCATACAGTTGCTTGCTAACTGGTTAATTCATTCTGGCAGAAAAAGGAGAAATRACTTGCAGGGGATTCTGCGCATTTGATATGGGCGGAGTTTATGGGTTATGAGCATTGGGTATATAGGGTGGTATGGGTATACTGCAGGCGATAAAGTGGATCTTATCCCAACACTTAACTACTGAGACGTGTTAATGCCGTGATCATGCAGTGAAAATATATGAATAATCTACAACGGAAAGTTTTCGAATACGCCGCCATATGCAAATTCAATCTGCATTTATTGACACGCCTGCTCTAGGCTTCTTATGTTGACATTTGTACCCCATACTCCTGTTATTAGCGATAAAATTAGAGAGCTTAATGCTGCTTTACCTTAAATGTTGATGCCTTCCAACAACTTCCTGGATTTCCTGTATCCGTAAAACTCATTATCCGATCTTTTATGACAAATTTGAGTTGGCACACCAATGTTTCACAAGCCACAGTTAATAATTAGCTATCTAAGTTTTTGTACTATGAGTATCAGTGGAACATACTTATTTTTTACTACACAAAAAAAGTTTTTCCAGAGCTGTTTCAATGACAATTTTTTTTATTAGAGGAAATTTGGAAATTTATCAACGGTTAGTTTGATATCAATTTTGCATTTGTGTGTGTGTGTGTTGATATACAACAGTAGAATCTCAACATGGCCCTATTCTGACTTTTTACACTTGGAAGGCGTAATGACCGTGAATTTACTGAGTGTCAACTCATCTTTGATATCACCCCAATCTTTCACATTCCCTCGATTACCACCGTCACACGATTGAGCCATCTTAGTAATCTCTTCATTGGTCACCATTCTATCCCAGATATTCAGATCTGATATCATTCCTGGAAAAAAGTTAGATCTGAATCCTCCGAAATGCATCGTTCCTCCTGCCAAAGGAACTTTTCTTGGTAGCATATAATTATTTTTTGGGTTCTTACGTGGGTTGACGCCATCAGCAAATATATTGGTTTCACCTGAGTTGCTATCTCGAACAACGCAGAAATGGTGCCATTTATCATCTTTGTTGAACGCCGCGCCAGTGCCTTTCATAGCATTACTGGAGAGTAGATAAAATACAAATCAATAACGTGATTAAACAAGAGAAAATAGAAAAGAAACATAAGGTTGCATGCTAAGAGAAAAGACACGTTTTGATCTATAACGAAAGTTTTAAATCAATAATAAAAGAGTTTGGCGCGCTGTAATTGATCATGTGATGATGATGAGACGATATTAGTTGGTTGTGAGTGAAAGTAAAGTCATAAAAGTGGAAATGTTTTGGGTTTTTTTTATTTCTTAATTCCTGAATTTCGCCTTTTATCTTATATTCAAGTCTAAATTTAAACTAAAACAATTATYAAACTGAACTGGCTTCCCATCGACGAAAGAGCAAAATATTCTTGAGCTATTCTAATGCTTTAAAGCCTTAGCTCCTCAACATTTTATAGATAAATTCAAGAATACACCCAAGTTGAACACTAGAGCTAAAACCAATAAAGTTATTGCGATTCATTTATTCAAATGTTTAGGGGGGTGGGGGCAGCGTGCGTTTACCTACACAGGCAATAGCTTCTGGAATTCACTTTGCAATTAGTAACAAACATAATTGTAGTTCTGTAGCAAGTTTGAAATATAGTTAACATAAATTTATAACCTCGAAGTTATATAATGAACCCTTCTTCATAGTTATCTAATATAATTTTTATTCATAAGCACCATAAGTACCAATTTTTTATTTTTAAGTGCTATCATCATACGTTAATATCTATACCCTGTTTCTCAAAAAGTAAACAAAAGCCCAACCCAAAGAAAATCAAGCTATACTCACCTTTTCTCTCTCAAGTAAAAATAAACAGTCATTTTAGTTTGTTCTGCCTCAACTTTTATAGTTATTAGATTTTCTTCTGAGCCTTTGTTATAATAGTCCAAAATATAATATCCATAGCGTGGTACAACATTGACGAATTTAACCCAGAAACAAATGGAAAATTGGTTCAACGTCGGGAAACCAACGACTTTGGTGTCATCACGCGTGGTAGACTGCTTGGAGCTCAAATCAAATGAAACTGAAAGATTCGTAAAGTTCAATCATAAAGAAAATACAATTAGCTAGTCGAAAGAATATGAAACCGTATTAAAAATTAAAACAAATACGTATACACTCAAAAGGGGTGTCACAATTTCACAATTAAATTCTAAAAAATTATCCAAATTGATCAACAAGCATTTCTCTTTCTGGTATTTGTTTGTTCTGGCAAAGGATATATTGTAAATAAACAGTTTCAGGTAGCATAGAAACCCTTTTCATCTTTTCTCTAGCTTTAGAGACCTACATTTCTCAATGGAAAGATATTATACATCATATTTTACAAAAGACAATATAATAATTGGCATTTATTTTAAATAAACCTAATTTTGCATAATAGTGCCTGCCAACTTTGTTTCAGAAAGGACATTTCTCGCCAAAGTGGTCTTCGAACGCTTATAGCTTTCAACGTTTTCAAAATTTCAAACCAAGCTTTGCTGTATCTGTCTTGTAATTTTTTCAACAAAAAAAANAAAAAAAAAAAAAAAAAAAAAAAAAAAAAAGAGCAAATGATGGAAGTCTTCAATTCCTTTTACTGCAAGAACATTTAGTAAAAGCCAATAATTCACGGGAACGACAATAAATAAACTGAGCAGGCGCATTGCGTTTGACCGCGGTGCTAGCGTGCATAAGTAGTCGGCGTCATGCAGCTTCTTGACATCACAAAAGCGACTAAACAGATAACAGATAGAAAGAAGGACAATGTATTACAGCAGCGGCGGTATTAGGAATCCAGGATATTTTAAGGAGGGATGAAGGGGTTGTTTGAAGGTGGTTTATTGTATCACTATGATAAAAGTACATATAAAACAAAATGGTGTTATATTTAAAATTGTTTTTGTTTTTGTTCTCTGAAAGAGAGGGTTGGCTATCCTCCAAGTCCATCTCCTAAACCAGCCTCTACCTGCAGTTATCTAACTAATGAAGAAAAATATAAASCGACACGCAAATCAAAAGAAAAACAAAACAGTTTGTAAACCGTGCAGTAGCGTGTTTCGTGCATTAATTGTTTGATACTCACCTGTGCAATATTTATCCTTATTCGGTATCTCTCCTGCCGCACACTGATTCACGCAGTCACCATTTTCATTTTTGGCATAACGACACTCGTTACATTCTGATGCCTTTGGTTCACCTTGGGAATTAGATTTGCATCCTGAAAAAAAGTTGAATAACAGTTATTATGAATATATGCAAATGACATGTAAATAAGAAAACAAACAATGTATTGGCCTGATAGCCTCACTTGTATGATTCTTAAATCTAAAACTTATCTCTTTGGGTGCTCAATTGTAATAACAGCTATTGTTTCATGATTTTGGAGATCGCTTTCTTAGTTATATAGGTTACAGTTTTCTAGACTAAGAGATGCTTTTCAATAAACACTTCTTAACTTTGAGGGCATATTTGATTTAGAGTAAAAGTGATATAATACAAAATTCCAAGAACATAGTTTACTTACCTGCCAGTGGATCACAAGCTGGGTGACATTTCTGTACACAATTTGGCTCCTCGTTATCTCGATAAGTATCTCCTTTACAATCTGTCGTGGTCAATTTACGCGATATCACATGAGAATCAACAATTTGTGCTTGATCTTCTCCATTACCAAAGGAATAAAAGCGAGCATGAATCGGTTGATCGTGATCAAGCATGGACAAGTAGACATCACCGCTGTCCGTCGTGCCCTGGGATTTGCCATACTCAATGACTGTACTTGTTGATGACTCAGTAACACAGACAAAGTACGATTGATACAAAAACTCATCTCCTAGTGCTACAGCATTGGTTTTAACTGTAGACACCTTGAGTTGTTGCGACTGAAATAAAAACTCGGAGGTTTTAGACGTTAAAGTTGGGGATTTCTAATCTTTATTTTTATTTCTTTAATTAAATGGATCAAAGAACGGCCTTTTTTCATAACCGATAATCCCAGTAAAACGTTTCTCCGTGAACATTCCACTCTCATTACCAACGAACTTCATATGTTTAGTAAACCAGCGAAATAAGTGGTTTGATTAAGTATGTTTTGTCAGCCGCTATTATTGTTCGTCATGCAACGCTTACTCTCCTCAGTAGCTACCTATTAGAGGAGTTGGCGGTGCGTGAYGACACATATATCGGCTGCGTAGGAGACTAGACAAAACCTTGAGTAGTCCAAACAACATTGCAAATAAACAATTTATACATTATGAACATTAAAGTATCGGCAATACTAACTGCATACCTTGTAGATACCAACTCCAAATGGTGAAATTTCAACGTAATACCACGTGTCCTTGTTACTGGGAACCGCCGAGAAAACAGCATACAAAGTACCTTTGGAAGAAGCTGTAAAATGAAGACACTTGCCACCAGTATCACTCGGATCAAATCTAAGCCCGTTGGACCAGTGAATGTTACAGGGTAAATGTCCTATTGGGTTCTTATTTTCAGTTTTTACGTTCCTTTGGAAAACTTCTTTGGCCGGCCATTCAGAGAGTGCAAGTGGTCTACCCTTCAAGTGCACACTCAGTCCTGGAAAGTACCCTTTTGATTCTTGATAATCTGCGCTGCTTAGTACAAGACTACCGTCGTTCTCGTTATAATTCAGGACAAGACCAAATATGGATATTTTCTTGTTACCAACGTTACCGCTACCACCGTTACTAAAACCATCATAGAGATGAAAGTCACCATTTTCGTCTGCAGYGTACCATTTACCTTCGCTGTTAAAACACGAAAAATAAACCATAAATGCCTGTCTCTGTATATAAATATATATCTTTTAATGTGTGTATCTGAAGTGGCAGCATTATAAAAGAACATTTCCTTCGGTTATAAAAGAATATGTCATTCAACAACACGGATACAAACTCTTTTTGTGTGAATTATAATATCTGGAAAAGCTAAATAAATGGCGAATATTTGGTGTAATTATTATATTACATTCAACATAAAATTAGATTATCTATTAAAATATTAAAAAATATATTGAGAGAAAGTATTTTTTTACTTGAAAATCGGAGGTGAACAAAAGGTTTTCTAGAATGGTGAAAATATCTGAATGTTCGCTAAAGACCACCTGCAGTGAATTTTCGAAGATTAGTTATTGAAAAATCTTGGCTACTGCTAGCTGTTGTTCTTTGCTTTAAATTTGTCCCGAAGCGATGTTTGCTGTGCATTTGCGATTTTTTTCTTTTAAATAAAGATGGAGCCCTGTTGTATGACACAGTCGTAGGTACGGAGGGACGCATCGACGGAAATGACGTAATCAAGCCATGAGAAATCAACTCGATGGGATACCAATTTATCTTATGGTGGCTCAATACTTTTCAACGTTCGATTTGAGCACACGATGTTAGCGCGCTCAAAACCCGCTGAACAGTCTTCACTATTTTAATCAAGAACCATACACGTTTTGAACTTCAAGAGAGCAAAACCCTCAAATTTTGCACGGGACTCTATACTTTATGCGCTTTTTCGAAAAACTCCTGAAAAAAAGGTTATATCATTTTTTAGAAAAAAATGTTCTTTTTTTCTAACACATAGAAAAATAGATTTTTGTAGGGATTTCTGTACGTTTTTATGAGAGTTTTCGAGAGGCTAAATGGATAAAATATGATGAATCATTGTAGAATGATACCTTAGCCGTCATTCGGGCAATCTTAGAGTCTGCAAATAACTATTATCGTACGAATCTTAATTTTTTCCATTAAATGCTGATTTTCTCGAAAACAGGCTTGGGACACCCCATTTTCTTTTCTTTTTTCATATTTGGAATCAGCATTAAATTTCAGGTTAAAGGAATTTCAGTGTTCAATTTTCAGTTTGTTTTTTTCTAAAGTAGTCAGCCACGTTAAAAACGACCGTGGTTCCGCTGATCGCGTCCACCTTCGGCCTGGTTGGCGCTCGCTCTGTTATCAAGCCATTAGTTTTAAAACTAGATAGTATTACAGCTTGCCTAAACTCAAATCACGGGAAACCAATGAACAGCTAAATTAAGTACAGATATCAATGCAGAAGGAAACTCATAAAAGGCCTCATCTAATTTAAAAAAAGTGTTAGGTTCCCTGTGGTAGAAGGCACAGAAACAATTGCACAAATGCCGCACCATTAAATTTCATACTGTCTACTCATACCTGTATTGGACAGTTCTTGACATAGATCTTGGGATGTCAAGCCCATCGTCAGGATTCCCCTTCAGATCTCTTAACATGTCGAAATTCACGTTGAAGGGTTTGCGGTTCGTTGTCATATCAGTCCAAGAAGGCCTAATAACTGATTTATATCCTTGGCATCCAGCTTTTCCAGCAGGAAGACTGACATCTGATATAGACATGGGACCCTTGGAATAAAAAAAAGTATCGCTTTGTAGTGCCTTCTCTCACTCAATAAATCCCGCTGTGGTTTTTTTGCACTGCAGACGTTCTTGTATAGGTCGACTAGCCTCGTTTAGATTTGTTTGATAATAATTGATAATGACATAATTATTTTCAACAAAATGCATAATTTAGAAATTTTACAGGCTTTATCGGGCAATTGTTGTTTAACTCAGTATAAATGAGTAGTTTACCTCTTCCATGTAGACTTCAATCGCTCTCTTAAGACTCGCACGTTTGCGTTTTAACAAAACGTCCATCTCGGTTCGACTGGCAAACTCACAGTAGAAACGCTTCCCGTCTTGAATGTAGTAACTTTTTTCGGAATCCTCTTCTTGATTGAGATTCTTTCCATTTTTTTCACATCCCAAGTCTATCGTTTCATCAGGAAACAAATCGTTGGCACGAAAATCCACCAGATCGGTGATAGATCCCATGAGAAACTTAAAGGCTTTGGGATACGTGGGTATGCTCTCTAGCCATTCCTAAACCAACAACGAGAAAAATGCATTTACAGTCAAAGGACACGAAACATGCAGTCAAGCAGTGAAAAACGTTTTAAAGCCTCCTTGTACCGGTGAATTAAATACATAATTCCTGTTCATCACATTCGTTCCTTAACATTTCAGCACCTTTCATATAAATATTTTCTTTCAATTTGTAAATAAACACTTGATTTTAGGATGAATTCAAGGCAGATGATAGTAGGTATGTGTTATTTACCGTGAATTCAGTCTTGAATGTAGGTGAATACATGTCAGTGATCGCTGCCGCTACTCTCTGACTTCCTCCTTGCACAGTTAATGATGTAGACATGTATTTCTGTTCTGATTGGGACGAGCTACCAGATTTGGTACTAGATCTTGATCCTGCACTCCAAAATAGACTTTTGAACTCAACCTCACTCTCTTCGGCGAATTGTTCCTTGCTAGCAGTCCTACTTGCTAATTGTGTTTTTCGTAGTTCCAGCTGACCGCCAAATCTGGCAGACTTGATGTAGTGAGTTCCCMATCGAAGAATGAAGTCCTCTGGCAAAAATAAAGTATCATGATAAATTGTTAATAATTTTCTCTTTTTTCATATCACATCACATATATCCCTGGAAAGCTCAGGTGGCATTCGCTACTAATGCGCTGCCTCTCACCAATGCTACCCTTATTTCAGCCATGGTGGGATCGGTGTGGTATGTGAGTAGAGTTGTTTGTTGCTTCTCTCCTGTGCTTCGAGGGTTTGTCTCTGGCTTTTCCGATTTTTAATTCCTCCCTCAACAAAAAATAACTTCTACTTTATGATTCGATATACCGGCTGCCTTATCGATTGGGTTGCAAAACCCGTTAGGCATTAAGCCGTCCACCCAATAAAACTCCAGAACACAGTTAACGAATTGCCTTTTACTATGACCGGAATTATTATATTATATAGTCTTGCAAATCTTCCTTTTTATTTTTTATTTTCGAACTTTCAATCCCAATACTAAACGATCGAAATACCCAAACCAGTCAAGTGATACAGCACGTCTGTTYTTAACATTAATATACAAATGTTTTATTTGGTATTTCGAAATTTCCAAGTTAATTGTTAGAAAACAAAATACGATATAGATGGAACGGACTTTAATTATTTGATATGCTAATTAGTTCCAATCAGTCCTATTCACTATTTTCCACACACCAAACACAAAGCATTCAGTCGAGGTCGCAAAAAGGTTCAAATTTAAATAATCCTTTGAAAGTACCTTGGCACTTCGCTTGAGCGCTTTGTTTTTGACCAGGGAACCAATGTATGTAAAATGGTGAATCACTCTAAAGTTGTCTTTATAACTCGTGATATGAATGGAACCAGCAGCGACTTACGGAATTTAGCTGGGTCTCCAGGACCAAAATAAGAGTTTGGTAGGTTAACAAACTCTCTCAGAAAGCTCCTGCTCAGATCCTGTGGCTTAACCTCGTCCTTGAAGATCTCGTATCTAAAAAAATAAATTATTCACACTATTCTTACTAAAAGAAACTAAAAGAAGTCTTTGGCAAATTTCCAATTTCTACAAGAAAAAGCAGGGACATGGGTATAATTGGAGAAAAACTTCAAGTAAAATAACAAGGAGAGAAAAACAAAGCTTTAAAGGCATAGGAAAAAAGCCACTACCTGTCAACATCGATATCAAAAACTGCAAGATTGGTTTGTTTAGCACCACTAGCAGAACTGCCCCACGCCTTCTTGACACCAGCGTAAAAACCCAAAAAAGACCYGGATACTCCTGCCTCTCGCTGTAAATACTTCTGGTATTCAGACCTTGATGTGAATACGGTCATGTGAGCGCTAGTGTCGTATATCCCGTGAACATTCATCGTGTCTGGCACTTGAAAGTTATCATAGCTAAAAAAACCAACAACAATATATTGTAAGTATTGCTAGAAGTTTTATTATTTAACAATTATTTGCCGAAGGCAAAGTTACACTTGTCCCCGTGAAATTGTCTTGCAAGCCGTTCTAGACAAGCTTCAGCTGAAAGTTTCAACGTGAAATAGGGCATTAATTTCATATCGAAGGAAAATGTAGACTTATTTAGTTGTTTGTATGACGTGTGTTGTGTAATAGTTACGATAGTGATGTGGTGATGTGGTGATGTGGTGATGTGGTGATGTGGTGATGTGGTGATGTGGTGATCCAGGCAGAATGCATGCATTGTTAGCAGTATTGTGAATACTGTGGCAGGATGAGTGAATTCTCATCGGAATAATTGGATCCAGGCAGAATGCATGCATTGTTAGCAGTATTGTGAATACTGTGGCAGGATGAGTGAATTCTCATCGGAATAATTGGATCCAGGCAGAATGTATGCATTGTTAGCAGTATTGTGAATACTGTGGCAGGATGAGTGAATTCTTATCGGAATAATTGGATCCAAGCAGAATGCAGTAGTTGTATTCTATCGGATTCGGGTCTTTTGAGTGGTTTCATGAATATAGCAGGAAGTTACAGAGATCTTGATGGCTTTGAAAAAGGGTTCCTAAATCAACCCCCTCGTGTATCGTGAGTCAAGGCTGTCATGTTTTCTGATAACTTCGGCGGGGCCCACCAGCGTTAGAGATTCTGATACTGTGTTTGTCTTCTCTTGATATGTACAGTCCATTACCTGGTCATGGGAAGTGAATAAAGAATTTGATAACACCATGATATCGCACTCTAAAACTCGAATTTCTAATCCAATCAAGTGGTTGGATTTCTGTGGGAACCCCGTCGAGGTTAGCAGAGACATGACAGCCCATGAAAAACTAGCAGAGAAAGTGAACATCCTATGAAAYGCTCACAGYCTTCTTGAAAGTGTGATTTTGGTTGAAATTCTTTATAACTAGTGTTGTTTCGCTGACAAATGGTTAAATACTAAGAGTGGGAAGTAAGAATTGGGGATTGAGTATGGGTTTATAGATATATTTAGAGGTTTTAGCGTAAGGCTTGGTTTCAGGTGCTAAATAGTACCAGGTAAAGTTAGGTAGACGCGAAGAGAGATTTTTTCCCATACTTAATTCAACTGGGCATGAATGCGAGCATTATGAAATAGATTAC